TCGGTCGATTGATTGTAAGGGGCTCTTGTTCTCATTCTCTGCGGGAGATTTGCAAAGAGCAACTCTAGTGAAATTGTGGCTAGTTGGAGTGCCTCTCTTGTGTGGTTCTTGTGGCGCCCGTGTGGCGGGCTTGGCGTGTGATGCCAATTAGCGCGCAAACCACTTAGTTTGGACTCGCCACAACGAAGACGTAGGTTGCCGGCAAGCAACCGAACCTTGGTGATATATCATTGTGTTCATCTCTCTTGCCCGATTCGGTTTGCTCACTATCACACTTGTATTTACATTCATAGTATTCTTGTTAGTGTGATAGCTGTTTGCGTAGTTTCTTGTGTAGCTTGTAGAGTAATTCTAGAGTAGCTTGTAGTTGTAACCAGTTGTAATTAGCTCTCTAGTTTTCTTGTGTATTTGCTAGTTTTTGCGCTTGCGTGATATAACCAAAAGACATATCAACTAGAATTGATTAGGAGGCTTGCTTGTGGTGAAATAGAGCTAGAGCAAGTAGTTGCATTAGCGCTATCTTATATACTAATCAACCTCTCCTCTAGTATTTTGTGAGTTTGTAGGATAATTTTTATAGGCTATTCACCCCTTCTAGCCATCTAGATCCTATCAGTCCATCTTTGTGGAGTTTAGATTCAGTCTTAATGTTCGCGGTGCTCCTAATTCTGACTGCAGGTGATTGTTAGATTGTAAACGTGCCCCAACCCGTGGGCCTGCCATCCCCGGTTCCCCACCGTGCCTATATGTACACGCTACTGGTCAGTTAGTAATACATCACGCATTTCCACAACTCTATTACGCTTTCAACGACGAGCACAGAAAGATAAGACGAGTTGAACGTACAATATTATAAAATAGGAGATTATAGTGTTTTGAATACGGACTCCAAAGGTTACAAGAATAATTCTTTTCATACGAGCTGCACATGTCGCTTGAGCTCGAGGGGGCCGGGAAAGTTGGGGCAGGAGGTGCCTCAAGAGAAGAGGTAGTCTCACCTTCAAGGAAGCTGCTCAATGAGGCCAAGACAGAGTTTGGGGCCAACAAGGGTCCTCCTATGGCTACATGACGGAGCTCAAGGGGAATTAGAGAGGGTGAGGACATGATGAAGAAGGCAATGCTGAGAAAAGAAGAGAAGCTCCAGGGTAAAGGTGCTCTCGACCTTATGGAAGATTAGGAATGATGTAGTCTTCAACAACAAGATCATGGCTTCACCATCGATGGTAATCCACTAGAGAGTTATGCTGATCAAGAGCTAGAGGCCCCCCCTACTCAAGCCAAAGTCCAAGGCACTGGCGGAGACGGTCATTGATAAACTGAATCAAGGTCTTCTTAATGCATGACGTTTGGTTTCGGGATTGTTTGGTTGTAGATGGGTGGTGATGTTTCAGTTTTTGTGTTGGGTGTGGCGGTGTTTCTTTTGACTTGTTGAGGTTAGATGTTAGGCCCACCCGGTTTGTCGGTGCGGCCGTTTTTCAGTTGTTGGGCTTATTTTGTACGCTCGTAACCCCAATTCAGGATCGGAGGTTCAAATGTTAAGCTTTCTATAAAGCTGGGTTAGGCCTTTGATCTAAAAAAAAAAAAAAAAATTAGAGCTACGGATGAAAAAAAAAACAGACCAACCCACGAAAGAAGCTCTAATAGTGTCTAGATACATATACAGATATAGATTTAAAAGATATAGATAGATATAGATATAGACATAGATAATTTCTAAGACGACAGTTCTCACGTATTTAATTTGATGGTGACTCCACGCACCGATTGGCCGAGCGAGCAAAGGTCGATCGGCTCCGTTGCCGCCGCACATACATATACAAGAGAGAAGAAGCATTGGAGGTGTGTGGAGTCTTCCTACCAGTGGAAGCCTACAGAGCGAAGCAGAAGAAGCAAGTAGTCGGTCGTCGTCGGATCGGAATGGCAGCGGCCAGCAAGAAGATGCTGGTTGTGGTGACAGTGGCCGCCGTGCTGCTGCTGCTGCCGCGGATGGCAACCGTGGAGTCGGCATCAGCATCAGCCACGGGACTGTCCAGCTCCAGCACCCACGGGGGCTACTCCTACTCGCGATCCAGCAGCCTTGGGCCAAGAAAGCTACTGGCGTGCATCCCAAATGGATTCCCTTGTGTTCCTGTTCTTACAAAGTGTTGCACCGGCAGTTGTTCACGCGGGTTTTGCCGATGATATGATAGCCTGCGTGCATGCTAGCTAGCTTTCACGGTGCATCATAATTTGATCTCAAGTGTCCGTGTTCAGCTATTGTACGCATTTGTTGTCGTGTTTTTTATATGGTCCAATAAATTAAAGCAGTGCATGTAGTGTTTGCTTTTGTTCATTTAATTTCCAACCCAATTGGAAACCCAACTCTGCCAAAAAGGAACTGATGATGAGCAAAAAGATAAGACGAGTTGAACGTACAGTAATATCTTAAATTTGGAGGATATCACTACAATCATTGCTTGAAGTCATGTGATTTTTCAGCGCGACCATGGGCATGGAGGCTCGAACCTGTGTCCTCAAGTCTCTCGTGTATCTTTATCCGGTTTTGAAATGAACATTTATCACCCTAAACGAAATCAAATCAAAAAGTTGTCAGTTACAAAGTTATATAACTTTTTAAGATCTATAACTCTTGTTTTAGTTGTTTCTCCATTTGAATTTCAACGGTGAAAAATTCAAATGTAACTTTACTTGCATATATGATTTCAGATGAGAATACTGTTATCTACAAAGTTACATAACATTTCGAGATATGCAACTTTCGTATTGGTCGTTTCTCCACTTGAGGTTGTTTGCAAATTCAAAAATTTTACTACGCAACTCCTATTTTTAGAGGCAACTCATTTCCAGCCGCCTCTAGGAATGGTATCATCTTTGACAATGAGTGCTGGAACCTCAGAAAATGGAAGATCAATTTCAAGGTGGAGCTTGGGTTGGTGTGCATCAAAGCCAAGCAATGCCTTAAAGGGCCTTTAAGCATATGAGTACAACGTAGACGTCCACAACATGCACGCATACTCACTCTTATGAACACACGTACACAAACCCTATCCCTATGAGCACCTCCCAAGGACTGAGCCAGCAGATCTCGAGATTCACGAAGTCACAACATGCGCCTCGCCATTGACGGGGACGTCGTCTACCACTGAAAGTATACACCGTTAAATCCTGAAATAAATCCAGGAATATGCAAGCACCCGTGCCAAGTCGATGATAGGTTCCACCACAAGGAACCCAACTGACTGATCTATGATCAGTTCGCTTTCTTCTTTGGGCTTCGTGAGCATTGTACCTTGTGCATACTGTAAATTTGTGATTCTATATATCTATAAAAATTAGGTAGGGGCCACCCCTGCTGACCTTTTCAACAAAAAATGTTTTCAATAGAGACTACATGAACAACCAACCAATCCTAAAAGTGTTGGTAATTGTTGCATGCTTAAAGATTATGCAATGTTTTTTCGACAATACCTATGATTATTGTCACGTAATGAAGCGTTGTAATTGTTTGTTGCAAAATGAATTAGGCAAAACAAAAATTTGCTCGACCATAGACACACATATTAATTTAATATATTGTTAATATTGACGATCCTTTAAAATAGTATGTACAATTATAATTGCAGAACTGTGTTACTTATGCTAAAAAAATCATATAAAACTGTGTAGCTAATATTATATTAGAAAAAAAGTCCACCACCAGCTGCTCCTGCTTTGCTCCTTGGGCTACTACTGCTTCTGCTGCTCACGTTACCTACCCCCTACCTCCTGGCCCTTCTACTACTCCATAAAAGATACATCACCCCTGCAAAATGCATGATTCATACAACAATTGTACATGGGTTACATGGTGTGTTTGTCCTTAACAATGATTCTAATCCCATCTTCCAAGGTCTTCTCTAGTAATAGCCAGTAAAACTTCAAACTTTGGGTCTTCTGGTACCCTAACTGTTCAACAAAGTCATCAAACCACAAAGGCGACCAAGTATCTGCCTCCAAATGATCAAACCAGTCGGCCTTCTCATCCACATAAGTTCTAAGATTACCATAACTAACAAAGAGTCTCCCATGATGAACCTCAACCGTAAACTCCGCCCCACCTTCATCTACATTTAAGGCAAAAAGGTGCACTGGTAAAGCATCACGCAAAACCCTAACTAAAATCAACCAAAAACAAACTAATTGACAATCCGTCCTCCCAAACCCTAACCAAAATCCCCATGGTGAACCTCCTACGATTACTAGATGCCTACGATTCCGAACAGTTGGACTAACAGTAAACCAGTGTCGGTTCCCCTTTGCGCCGCAATCGCGCCGCCATGGGACTCCATCACGCCGTGAAACTTCTCCACCTATGCCCCCGTGAGGCCCTCACGTCCTTCTCTAGCGCCGCCACACTCCAATTTCAGTTGATTGCCGGCAACACGAGCGTTCTCTAGCGCCGCCATGCTCCAATTTCAGTCGATTGCCAGCAACACGAGCTCGCCACCAGGCAATAGGAGAGGAATAAGAAGGGGCAGAACAGAGTGGGAGGGCTTGTTTGCATATAGGTGAAGATGTATTTTAGCCCTACACCCACGTCACAAACCGCGCTGTCAATGCCACATCATCGGTAATAGCCTGTCTAGGCTGTTACGGACGTAATTGAGACCCAAACAGTGAATTAGCACCCGGATGACACGCTTTAAAAGTTCATGGACCAGCATGACACAGGCACACAAGTTCAAGGACTGGGTATGGACTTCACCCTTAAATTAATATGCATGCCTTAACAGTCAGAGTTTTATTCAACAACAAAAGGACACCGGCCGTAAATGCTCCAACGGGACAATGCATGTTTTTACGAAATTGTTGAGTGACATGTATAAATTCGGCACTGATACGTACTGGTACCGGTTGATGGCCAAAATTCAGCACCCTGTTTTTTTATTTCAGCTCTGCAATTTCTTGGCACACGCAATCTGAACTCAGTGTTCTAGCAAGACAACATTTTTGTACAGGATCTACCCGCTTCCGTCGAGCTGCCCATGGGAGAGGAGGTGTGCCAGATATTGCTGGAAAACACAGAGAAAGTATACATCAAACTTGCGTATCGGCTGGGCAGCAAGGACATATCCACTGACAAAATCTGAATTGATTGGCAGTAAGCATGGGTCCGAGAGGAATTAGTGAATGGTATATAGACAAGCGTGCAAGTCCTTACAGCATGGTAGGCATACGGTGGTTTCCCTTGCCGGTCAAAATGCTTCGCCATGATGGAGAACTCTATTGGCCCCCAGTCGTCTATTTCGAAACAATTGCCTAATGCAGCCTTGTAAAGCTGCAAACCAAACCACCAAATGAAGTGAGAATATCTCCTTATATGCAGGTTGGCACAGGAAATCAACAAAATAGCACTTTTAAACATCTGCATATATCATTAATGTTTATAAAAGCTCACTGGACACGTATTGATAACAAGGTGTATATTCAGTTTCCACACCTTTGCAGTGTCAGTTAGTAACTCAGTACCAGTAGGGTACGAGGCATAGTACTGGTCGGCCCTTGAGATCCCAGCCCTTGTCCCCTGGAAAGCTCAAGCAAAGAGCACAGTCGAGTGAGAATAACTGAACAAGTAATGAGGTTATGGAATTGTAAGGGGGAAAAAGCAGCAACATACGTATTGCTCGTGTAAGCATAGGTAAGGAGGGTGGTGAAGCAGTAGAATCCAGCATAGGACACCATACGCCGAAACTTCTGGATCTTTAAGACCTCCTTACATTGATAAAGGATATCCATCCCTCTACAGCAGTACAGCTGAATGCTGCTTTTTGGGGGGAAAGGATTAAAGGAACATCAGTTAGCTCTACAGAATAGCCAGGTGGCAGAAACTGCATGCAGCATCAATTTAAAGTCATTTCAAGCAATCAGCAATAGATTCAGCATCTTAGACTACTTGTACTGAATCCCAATAACACACGATCAAATTGAAAAAGGCAAAATATTTGCATCTCCATAAGCATGGCAAGTAAAGCAACAATTTAAACTAGCGTAGTTTCTTGTGAAGGTCACATAATAATACTAGATGGACATTCATGCAACAAAAAGCAGAGGATCACCTCACCAAGAGAATGTTTACAATTGTTTTTCTTTACATAGACTGGATACTTACAGTTACAGGGTGCGCAAGTGGCAACGACATTACAGAGTTCCATATTCCTACATGTTAGCACTCAACTTTCGGTAAGCATTTTGCTACAACACCTACTACGGCATGCACAGATTAAACTTGTGACGAGCTCCCAGTGAAACCCTGTCAGAACTAAATGAACCTGCAGAACCTGTAAACATATATGACATTCCAAAAATCGTTCGTTCTCTTATATCCTATAAACAACCATACATATTTTGATGGACAAATAATCAACGTGCAAACGATGCATCCCACATCAAATGCAAATTGTGCTGTCCTAGCCATAGGCCTGAAAATCACGGCTGCCCCCACTCACCATATATATTCAGGGAGGGACTCACTACAGTGCCACATTAATTCAACACATCGATCGATCCAGGTCGGATATAATTCATGGAAGAAAAAAGAAGCATGGAATGGAACAAGGAGCACGGTAAAAACTGCAAGAGCATTTCTCTCGGGAATTTCGACAACCACCTGACCTACGTGTCTGCTGGAAGCCCCTGTGGTCAGGGACTCAGAGGCAGACCCAGTAAAGGACAGATTTGGGTGCTCGGTTTGGCACGGCACGAAGGAAGGGAATACCTGGAGGTGCCCGCCGCCGGTGAAGGGAGTGACGAAGACCTCGGTAACTGGAGTAGGGCGGCGGCGGGTAGCCCAGTCCACGCCGAGAGAGGGAGCGAGCGCGGGGTGACGGTGAGGGGGAGCGCGCACCCGCACATGGGCTTCCTGGGCCGTTCTTTTTCTCGCGATTCTTTTGCAGCTTTCTTTTTTCTTATTTCTTTCTTTCTTTCTGTTTTCTTTTTATTTCTTATTATGCTTGCTGATTTACTATTTACTATCCTCCCCAAGGAACACTGCCAATAGCTAGAGAAACATTTTTTGGTTTTAACAAAGTGGAACAATAATCTGCAAAAAAAAGTGAACAATAAAGGTATTTATTAGGACATTGCAAATAAGCCAATGAAACGTCTTTTATATTTTATTATTATAAGATAAGATGGAGCATTTTTTTTCCTATAGTGAATTGGCGTCAGGGATTGGCGTCATGCAAATGGTATGCAAATCTTGAACTCCAGGGATTGGCGTCATGCATGCAAATGGTATGCAAATCTTGAACTTAATTCCTCAGATTGGTGCTTTGCACGTCATAAAAATTCTAACTACAGCTGCATTTCCTCCCTGCTGTGTTGACATCTTCATGTACTGTCTGTCTTCCTAGGTGTGAAATGTGTAATGGACACGATTTGCACCGACTACGTGGTATATACGGTGTAACAAATTATTACTCCTGCATTTGATAAAAAGGATTGTTGATGCAAATACCAAATTAAAAGCATTAATTGTGGCTCACATTCACTAAAACAGTGATAGGTATTTCGCCTGCATCATATCAGTGTAACAAAAGTTTGTAATATGTTGGGCTCATGCCATGGCATTCATACTGTTGTTCCCATGTGTATCGATGATCCAGCGGGGGAGAACACAAAAAAGGCTTGCCAATCAACGAACTGAACGAAGCACAACACGAAGCATCGGCACATAGATCAATTATCATCCTAGTATAATAAGTCACGGGCCTGTTTGGACGGCGCCTACGGCTGCGCCAAATGTCTGGCGTTGAAAACGCTCGCCACACATTTGGCAAGATGTGGCAGCAAATTTAAACTACATTGCTATGGTTTTATTGTGGCACGCCTTAACTCTGTCACCAGCCAAACGCCAGCATGAGTTCGTCAAATTTATGGCGTGCCAGTGTGGCAACGAACCAAACAAGCCCGTAATCCTAGACTGACGGGTCACACCAAGACCTTACTCGCAGCACGCTAAAATATTGTATGCTCCATATAGACGATGGAAACAAGTTGCATTATATTGATGCAAGAAAATAATAGCTGGCGGTCAAGTTGATGGATGCAGCTGTTCACAATATGCTGAAATGCAGCTGTCTAGCTGTATATATAAGAAGCATTGTAGGGGTTCGGAAGCTATCTCATCCGTGGAAGCTTGCCAGAGCTAGCTAGCGAAGCAAGCAAAGTAGTCGTGCCTGGAAATTAAAGGGTTCGGAGGAATAGAATGGCGACCAGCAAGAAGATGGCTGTGGTGATGGTGTTCATGGCTGCCGTGCTGCTGCTGGCAACTGTGGAGTCGGCGGCGGCGGCCACTGCCACGCCCTCCGACTCCAACCAGCAGCTGGGGCTGGGGGCAACAAGAAAGCTACTCCAGATCTTCAAAGACACATGCGGAGGACAGGGTTGTAGCTCGTCTCTAGATTGTTGCCTTGCTAGCCCTCTTTGTAATGGGAACATATGCTCGACCATTCTCCAGTAGCTTTCACGGCCGGCCGGGTTATTATGTCCATCACGCATTGCATGCCACAATAATCACGTCCCTAATAAGTGTTGTTTGTTGTGAGGCTACGTACGTTCCTGCTGGATGCATGCTACCGGCAGCTAGCTAGCGTGCTCTGATATCGGTGTGATGTTTAACAGTTACCGTACGCGTCTTATTTTACTTTCACCAGTTACTGTACCCGCGCGTTTGTACTTGTCTGTTGAATGAGTAATAAAGCAATGCAGTGTGTGTGCTTTGTTTCCAACGCCCAACAAGGGAAATGGCACCACCCAGTGGAATAGCACACCATTCTTGGTCCTCATATGTGTTCACTTCTTGTCAAGCAAACTGTGAGTGGCTTGTTCAGTTCCGAGACACACAAACTGAAATAGTCCTTGTGCGCAGCCATCCTCAACATTATATAGTTGCTCTTGCTCATATCAAATTATCAGATGCCTCTTGCAAGAAATAACGTTAATGTTGTGTGTGGAGACGCAGAATCGGGATGTCTCTTCTATTTTCTAAAAAAAAAAATCAGATGCCTCTTGCTGAATTGCTGCTTTTCTCTCTCTGTATTTACTCTAATATTATTTATTTTTGCTGCATGGATGAAGAGACACATCCACCTAGCTGATGAATTCACGAGGTGCTTTGGTAATCAGCCACATGATTTTCATTTGGTTGGAGCAACAATGAATATAAAACTGCTTAACAACGAGGGAGGAAGTTCACCGCCATGTCACTACAAGAAATGTGCCGGTTTATGACAATTAATTTAAGTCATAATATATGGAATTTTTATCACATATCAACATTTGTGACACCAGCATGACGAAAATACATGTGTCAAAAACCATGCGCCTTAAACCATGTTATGTGACGTTTATATGTAAACGTCATACATCTATGACATTGGTTTTCAAGTCACAAAGCTTTATGACATTTGATTTTTAAGTCACAGCTTCCAACATGCCACGTAGGTGCTGAGTTGGCATGTTAGCTTATAATGGGCTAGCTTATGCCCTTTTCATATTTTTTATTTTCATAGAACCACTCTACAATTACACAATCTTGACAAAATCCCAGGTTGCGAAGAATTATAATATCAAACTCATAGATCCATGTAGCAATATACATCACGCTACATCTAAGTCACAAGTCCAAAATGTCAAACAGCAGCCCTTTCATCATCTTGAACATCATCAAGCTAACAAAAAGAGTTGTAGCTACCCCTAAACATCACTGAGGCTTTTCAATTCACTGAGACATCCTCCAGACCACACTATTAACCTCTCTGAAAGCAGCAACCTGCAGCCAAAATTAGTCAAAGATATAAAGATTAGAGTTAGCTCTAGGTTCATGCATATTATTTATTTTTGCTGCATGGATGAAGAGACACATCCACCTGATGAATTCATGAGGTGCTTTGGTAACCAGCCACATGATTTTCATTTGGTTGGTGCAACAATGAATATAAAACCGCTTAACAACGGGGGAAGAAGTTCACCGCCAGATGTGTAAATCTTATCTGACCAGTAGCGTGATCTAGTTGACAGCAACAATGAAAATATTAGGACTGATAATCGAATCCTATGGCACAAGATGAGAATGTTAGTTTAAATGAGCTCTTGGATAGAAAATTCCAAGGACCCAAACCCAACCAATGGAGCCGATAGGGGTCAGGTGGATTGATTGTCACACCCTAAATTTTCTATTTGAGGCTGTGAATAGAAAACATTAAATAAAATAAATGATTTTACAAAATTTCAATTTTTTGCAAGAAAAAAAATAAAAACAGCATTGTGTGTATCTACCATTACCCTTATTTTCTAGAGAGAATTATGTATTTGGCACTAAAACAAATCGGTCTTTCATATTTGGCACTAGAAAATTTGAACTTTCTTATTTAGCATCGAGTTGAAATTTTCTTTCGTAAATGGCACTGCCGTCCATTTAGACCAGTAACGGTGTCAAGTGGCTAGCAAAATGACATAAATGCCCTTGATTGTAGCAAAAGTCCATGGTGCTAAACAGGAAAATAAATAAATAGACAGGTTGTCAAATAAGAAAATCATAAATATACTTTGAACTAAAATGTGGATTTTTGATAATTGAAGACTGCAAATAAATAATTAATAAATTTCAAATTGGTAATAGCAGGTACAAATTATGCCCCTCACTCTTCCTTTCATCTTGGCCACAGATCAAGGATGCATGGCTCAGGATGGCTGCTGATTGAAATACGTAACATCAATACCACTGTTCTATCAAGTAAAAAATGTTCAACTTTAACCATGACAAGTAGTCAACCTTGACATGAAGTTCACATTGCTTAGTGTGAAATAACTGGATCGTTTCCCTTTTCATGGACTGGAATAATCCTTTGCAAAAGAAAGAAAGCTCTGGTGGAAATAATGATGGGAAGAACCTCTATTTGCTTTCTCTTGGATTGTTATAAGAACATTAGAGGCCCAATTCCAATGTGAGCAAGTTTTGCCACTGATTGCACAATGTTACAATCAGCACATGCACACACATATTATAGTGACCTACACTAACCTGAAATGATAAATTTGGCTTCATTACTCAACATACACTGTAGGCGAAAGGACTCTGTTACTGTTAGTTGTGCTTGTGTTTTCTATGTTTGTTCATATGACACATTAATATTTGTATCAACTACCAAAGCATAGCGTACTCCTCACTGGACATACTAAAGAGGTAAAGAAAGACACAGAGGTGAAGAGCACAAAAGGGAAATGTAGATCTAAGTAACCACTCTAAAGAAGGGTCACACACACAAGAGGGCTGTTTGAAACAGAAGGGGGACAACACAATGATGGCAGCTGTTCACTAGTGGGGTGTAGAGGCCCATGAGCAAATACTGTAGCCTATCTCCCCCAACGAAGGGAACGAAGAAGATGTAGAAAGCGAATCCCAGCGCCAGAATACCGCTATCACCACCCACTGCAGCACTTGCCCAAGATCGTAAACAAAGCAGCAAAGAAGCAAGGAGAACGCCACGGAGAAGCACGAGCGCAACAAGCGGACTGGAGAGGATGGTAGGGTAGCTGCCACCCGTGCCTCCTCATCGCCAAACAAGGAAGGAAGAGTCCTCGAGAAATCAGTCCGCCCCAAGGAAGGGAGTGAATGGCGGCGGCGCTTCATTGTCGGGGAGCACCAAATGCGAAATCAAGAGGGAGGGCTTCTCATCAAGTTGGCCATTGGCGGCGCACCACGTCTTGCTGCTTCGCCATTGGCGGCGCGACGGACTTCATGTTTAGGGCGGCGCGCCGAGGACGCAGCCCGCTAAGCGGGCGAATCTGGCGGCGCACGAGCACGCGAATGGCGTGGAAGCGGGCGGCTGGCGAAGCCGCCGCCATGTGACGGCCATATGGCCATGCGCGGGAAGCGGCAGAAGACAGACCGCCGCTTCGCCCCCGCCCGGCCACATGACCGGCGTCGCGGCCGAGCTCCAGCGCCATTGCGTCATCTTCGACAGAGAAGCTGCTCGACGACGTCCTCCTCCTCGCCGAGACGCGACGCGCGCATGAACGGCCATCGCGGAGTTTCGCCCCATCGCGTCCCCAGCGCTGCGCGGCTCGGCACTAGCGTCGGTGGCGAGACCGCCCTCCATGCTCCCTCAGCTGTGTGAGCTCGCCTGGACGCCTCGAGGAACTGCGCTTCTTGTCGCCGGCGAGGAGGAGAGCAGCGACGCCGCGACGCCTCGTGCGCTTCAGCGGCGGCGGCGCCCGGGCGGAAGTCCATGAGGCTTGCGTACTTTCGGTGAGCAGTGCGAGATGTAGTCGTGAGCGGCGTGCATGCGGAGGCCACTGACGAAGCTGCTGCCGCGCTGGACGACTTTTCGGCCTCGCCCGAGGTTGGCGTTACCCGATCGACGCGGCGTCCACGATGGACTCGCACATGCCCATCTCACATCGCCGCCGATGGTTCACCCGGTGCTCCGTGCCCCGGTGAAGAAGTCCTGCATCGCTGCGGCTCGATCAGTAGCGCCATGGATCCGCATGATAGGATGTACTTGAGGCTGACCGACCACGTGAACCCCTCCGCGTAGATCTTGTACCGCCGCTCCTCCGCGAGCTCCCTAAGGAGAGACGAGCTGCCGACCTGGCCAATCTGAGAGGGGCATTTTGGTACCGGAAAGAAACATGCGAGGTCAACGCGAATAATCGACGGATGGATGCACTAAATGGACGGTAGTGCCATTTACAGAAGAAAATTTTAACTCGATGTCAAATAAGAAAGTTCAAAATTTTTAGTGCTAAATAAAGAAGACCGATTTGTTCCAGTGCCAATTACAACATTGCCCCTATTTTCTAACACCATTTACTGATCCCTCCTTCGGCCACGTCGACGCGTTCTTTGGCCTGTCCGATTTTGCATCAGCGGCCGCAACGTCGCCAGCCCCGCTGCTTCTAGAAAGGGGGAATTCCCTGTGTGCCATTAAAAAAGATCGCAATGCCCTATGTGCCCCTGGAAAAGTTTAGCGGTCTTCAGCGCCACTGCTCCAACTTTTTTGTGCCCTCCATGCCACTGCCGTCGGTTTGGGCTCTAACGCCGTCAAACTGCAGGTGTGAAAAGTCAAAAATACCCTTAAGTCTTAATATATCATTAATTTTTTTAGTATCTTAACGACTTCAAATAAAAAATCTCAAAACTAGAAAGTTGTAGATCTCGTCGAGAAGGTGGTGCAGGACGCCCAGCGTATGACGCACTCGGACACCGCCACGTCAAGGTTCTCCCACCCGCCGGCGTCGATCGTGTGGTTCTGCCTCCTGCCGTTGATGCCGACGATCGAGGCATATCATTCACTAATAACACGGTGATATTTAGCCTGTATCAGTGTAACAAAAGTTTGTAATATATGTTGAGCTCATGTCATGCCAGTCACACTGTTGTTCCTGTATATATTGGTGATCCAGGAGGGGAGAGCACAAAAAGGCTTGCTGAACGAAGCATCAGCACATAGATCAATC